TAAGTTACATCAGACCACCAGGCCATTGTATGCTTTGATTCTTACCACCTTTATTTATTTTTACAGTTTTCTTAAGGAAAACATTTTTATGTTTAAAGAAATTCTGTTAAATTTTTAAAGAATTCATTCAGTTAAGTCTTTTTTCCAGTGTTATTTTCATAGTGGTGTCATCTTTTTTTTTGTCTCTTGTTGAGATTATTATGTGTTTTTCTATTCGGTCCTTTTGGTCTGTGTAGTTGTTTAGCCACAGGGAATTCATAGCATTGCATCACATGGCTCTGATTATTATCTAGTATTTCTTTGCAAGATTTTCCTATTTCCAAACATACACACACACACACACACACATATACACACACATGGAAAACTTTGGTTTTAGAAATGATTTCAACTAGATGGCTGTATTAGTTGCCACCAATTTGGGCAAGTCTTTTAAACATTAATCTTCCTTTTCCTTATTTGTAAAATAGAATGGTTGGTTAAGATTTTCATTTAAAAATTTTTTGTACTCATAAACATTCTAGTTTATTGTTAATTTGTAGATAAAATGTATTTTATGTGTGTGGTGTAGTAATTTACCTGGTATAGCTTTTGTAGCCATAAGTCTTTGTAAACTTCGTGGTGGAATTTGCCATGAGCAACCATACTTGGTTGTTGTTAAAGTTACCCACCTGGGGTATTTCTGTTGGGATCAGCATGCAGTAATTTTCTGGGAAGTTCACTCTCTGTCAGGTGTATAGAATTCTGATGTTGGGATTGGTTAGTTTGGCCACTCTGGTAGTCTCAAAAGCAGCCCTCACAGAGGCAGAAAGAATTGCTCACTGCCAGGTGGAAGATGCGAGAGACAAGCACTGCTGGGAGAGAGAGGCCGAGAGACACACACTGCTGGGAGAGAGACACAGAGACACACACTGCTGGAGAGACTGTTGGCTGAGAGGCAGCGGGCTGAGAGAGACTGAGTGTATTCCTAAACTTGAATTATAGCCCATTGCTTCCCTAATAAATCCCATAATCTGTGAGTTCTCTGTGGCCCCTGCAGCGAATTATCAAACCCAGCTGAAAGGTGGTGGTGCTGTAAGAGAAACAGTTGGTGTCAGGGTTTTTGAAAGGGCTGGAGGGAAGCAGCATGTCTGGCCTCTCAGGAATAGGCCTTGGGCTACTGATGGTGATTCTGTCTTCCTCTTGTGGGGTTAGAGGAGGTCAGAAGATGCAGCCTCCTTGCCCCTTTAGCAGTATGTTTTTGTTTTCCCTGAAAGTCGTGATCCTAATCATCTAGAATAGAACAGTTTCTTTTGTGTTGTGTAAAAGAAACATGCATAACTAATTTTGATCTGAAAATTTAGAATCATCTCCAAATATATTTTTGAGCACAACAGTACATTCTTTAAAACATTAAACAAAATAAGCTGTCCCTTCCCTAAGATCTAAGGTGTACTATTGAGGTTAGATGATTACTCTTAGGTATATAACATGTTGTTTACAAGAATTTTTGCAAAGGTACAGCTAAGTGTGAATCCTTCTTTATAGGGGTTTCAGGAATATCTCACCCCAATAGAGTTGTATTGAAAACATACTTTGTAAAAGGTACATTGCTAAGGTAGGTTTTTATATAGTTGTTGTTATGTGCCGTTGAGTTGGAACCGACTCATAGCTACCCCTCCTTGGGTTTCCAAGGCAATATCACTATGGAAGTACATTGCCCAACCTTCTGAGGAGTGACTGGTGGGTTTGAACCACCAGCCTTCTGGTTAGCAGTCAAGGGCCTGCTCCTTTTATATAGTTGTTGTTGTTGTTGTTGTGTGCCGTCGAGTCGGCCCCGACTCATAGCGACCCCTCCTTGGGTTTCCGAGGCAGTATCACTACGGAAGTAGGATTGCCCAACCTTCCTTCCGAGGAGTGGCTGGTGGGTTTGAACCGCCAGCCTTCTGGTTAGCAGTCAAGTGCTTTAGCCACTATGCTACCAGAGCTCCTTTTTATATAGTAGAACAAATAATAATAATAATTTTTCAGGCAATATTTTATTTCCAGGACTTTGTCAATTCTGTGGTCTTAAATGATAGTATTGCTGTAGTTAACATTTTCCATTTAACCAGAAATTTTTGTTTATGTTGTTGTTGGCATTTGTTTGTTTTTTTCCCCATCAAAAGGTGTTATCTTATTCATTGGGAGTTACTGGATCACAAACATTCAGACTTATTGCCATTTAATACATCATTTATGTGTTCAGTCTATTTTCCTAGCTGAATACTATTTAGGTTTTATTAGGTTATCTAAAAGTACTACCAGAAATTTTGTTTAGTATCAGGCTGGAAGGAGCCTTTTCCTTAAAAAAACTCTAATTATGTTCTTTACAGCTAGAGTATGTTGAAAAGGAGTTATTTTTAATAAATATATTATCTGAAATCAGGATGAACCTGTGCTTCTAGGAATTCCCATACAGAGTTAGCTAATCTTTCCTACTTAACCTATAATCCACTCTCAAATTTATCTATTCAGACATCGTATTATAAATTATTACATATTTTTAATTGTGTCTTAATGTACATTTTCCACTGTATAACCTTAAAGTACTAATTTTTTGTGTTGTTGTTAGGTGCCATAGAGTTGTGTCAGACTCATAGCGAGCCTGTGGACAACAGAACAAAGCACTGCCTTCTCCTATACCATCTTCACAGTTTTTGCTATGTTTGATCCCATTGTCGAAGCCATTGTGATAATCCATTTTATTGAAGGTAGTCTTAGTCTGGATTCTCCAGACAAGCAAAACCAAACCAGTGAAGCTTTTATATAATATCTATCTATCTAGATCTATCTATCTATCTATCTATCTAGATAGATAGATCTAGATAGATAGATCTAAGTAAACCAAACCAAACTCACTGCTGTCAAGTCAGGTCTGACTCATAGTGACTCCTCTTTGGGTTTCTGAGGTGGTATCACCACAGAAGTAGATTGCCCCAACTTCCTTCCGAGGAGTGGCTGGTGAGTTTGAACTGCCAGCCTTCTGGTTAGCAGTCAAATGCCTTAGGCAGTATGCCACCAGAGCTCCATATATATATATATATGGAGAGAGAGAGATTTATCGCAGGGACATGGCTCACACAGTTGTAGAGGCTTGGGATGTCCCAAATCTGTGGGTCATATATCAAGCTGGAGGCTTCTCCTCACTCACACAGCTGCAGGGGTGGATGAATCTAACATCAGCAGGCAGTGTAGCACACTGCTGGCTTAGGCAAATGATGAGTTCAATATCAGCATATAAGATGGCAGATTGTTGGCTCACAGGCTACAAAGGCAACAATCCCAAGATTGGCAGGCAGTATGGAAGGCCACTAATTTAGCTCCAAGGACCGGAGATGATGATGAGCTAGATGCAGGATCCAGATGCAGCAGAAAGCCAGAGAGTGTTCCCAGGATGCCCATATATATGTTGGAAGCAGGCCACACCCCTGGGGAAACTTCTTAACTGAGTGGCTGCTCATAGAACATCTCACCATGGAGGTGATTACATCACAACTGCTTAAACCACTTTGAATCATGGTCCAGCCAGGCTAGTACACAACCTTAGCTAAAACAGACGTCTTTCTCATTTTTGCTGCCCCTCTACTTTACCAAGAATGATGTCCTTCTGATATCAAGAGGACTGATCACTCCTGATAACATATCCAAAGTACGTAAGATGAAGTCTCACCAGGCTGTCTTCTAAGAACCATTCTGGCTTACTTCTTCCAAGATAGATTTTTTTGTTCTTCTGGTTGTGCATGGAATATTCAGTATTCTTCGCCAACACAGTAGTTCAGAGTCATCAGTTGTTCTTCGATCTTCCTTTGTTTAAGCATTTTTTACTGGCTGAGAACTTTTGGTTACTCCAAAGTCATTCCTTTTTTCTTTTCTTTTCTTTCTGTGTTTAAACAAGATTAAACAAATTATTTTTGTTAACTTTTACCTTCACCTTTTCTAACATGCTATTTTGAGATTCGTGCTTGTTCATTAACTACACTTAAATTAAGATGGAAATACTTACTCATTTTGACAGTTTCTTTCCTTCAGGTAAAGTAGAATGTAAATTAAAATGAAGTGAAAAATCCCCACATACTTGTTAAAACCATTTCAGTTAAACCAGAATTGTTTCTTTAATTAGAGTGTTCTGTTTAAACTGGAAAGAGAAACAAATGCAGCTCTTCAGTAGACTGGTGGGAATGGTACGTTGTACTTACCTTGCTGGCCTTCTCCCTTTGATCTTGTCTTTCCGGCGATAACCACATTCTTGTTCTTGAATTTGAAATACTTTGTGTGAACTGCAGCTTGGACCTGTCTTTTCTAGGAACATACTTAATACCCAGGATTTCAAACCCCCAAAGTCTAAGATTGGTTTAGAGCCTATATTTTAATCTCTCATTCAATAAGAGATGATATTCGGGAGGAAGATTGAATTACATGTAAGCAAAGCTACAGACACTTAACATAATCCTATGTCAGGTGTCTGTATTTTTTGCTCAAGGAGCTCTGGTAGTGCAGTGGTTAAAGCATTTGGCTGCTGACCAAAAGGTCGTCAATTCGAACCTACCAGGCGCTCCGAGGAAGAATGATGAGGCAGTCTGCTTCCTTAAAGATTTATAGCCTTGGAAACCCTCTGGGGCAGTTCCACTTTTCGTATAAGGTAACTGTGAGTCAGAATCAACACAGTAGCAGTAGGTTTGGAGTGAGCTCTTCACCATGATACAGATCTGTCTTCTTTCTCACGTCACTGTTGGCCTCCTATTCCTTGTGCACACACATGTGGAGATCGTGGATTGCTTGTCCCATGGGAGATCTATCTGGAAGTGAGCCAGGGTAGGGTCCTCTGAAGCACAGTATCCTGGGCAGGGCCCCAGATGCTTGGCTCTAAGGGTGGTAATGTTAGGATGTTTTTGCTTTTGTTTTAAATAAAAGTTATGTATTATTTAAATAAAATTGCCGTAAGTCATTATTTTCTTTTGTTAAATGGTTATCTTTTATAGCGTTTATTGAAAAAGTGCTGAAGAAACTTTTTCCTAATGTTCCAAATGGCCAAGACAAGATTGCACCAGTGACTCTGGCCTCAGAAGAAACACCTGAAAAGGTGAAACCTAAGAAAGTGAAAGTCAAGACAGTTCAACCATTCACAGGTAATGTTTGCAGGTAACAGTGGATTAAAGATACTTATTTTAATTTTAAGAATCTGTATTTACACTGGAGAATATATGCTTTGAGCCTCCAGGCTCCTATTTGGTGACTCAGTTTTGAAAAGTTCTTGACAGCAGGATTGCTGCATGCCAGGAGAGGCAGAGCTGATGAGTGAAAACTTTAACTGGAGGAGGAAAGAAGGCAATACACCTACTCCTCACTTATCAACTGTCTTGTTATCCAACATTTTGCATTTACGACAATAATAAAAGATCTACTATCTGACTATTTTGCGCATTAATGATATATGTCTGACAGTAATGAGTGCCAAGGTGCTGGGTGAAAGTAATGCTGGCTATGATAACCATTATGTGTCAACTTGGCTGGACCATGATTCTAAGTGGTTTGGCAGTTAATGTAATTATGTCATTTAGCAGTTATGTAATGATGTAGTCAATCTCCATTTTATGATATAATGTGACTATCCTCCATTTTTGCATAATGTCAATTTTCACATAATGGCCTGGTTTTTGGAACCTAACTATGTTGATAAGTTGTTTCAAGTTCATTTTTAAGTTTTATTTTTTTTACTTGTAGCTTGGGCTGTTGAGTGGGGTATGAGTTCAGCCAGTCCTTGGCTTTCCTGTGATGTGAACACATGCTTCTCCTTCTGCCATCGTCACTGTCATCTGTAATGATACTCAGATGACATTCTGGTCCTTCATTTAGCTTGTGTCCACTAAGAGAAAGGTTCCTGATATCCTTCTTCTATTTTATTCTCAGTTAGTCTTTCCTAAGATCACTTGAGCAGACACTTAAGTGTCTACAGTGAAAGCTTCATTAACTCTAATTCTCTAGCAATGCAGCCGTATCAACAAGGTGAGAGACCACTGAATGGAGAGATATGTACATAAGACAAAAGTGGATGGGTAGAGGCAAATAGATAAGTAAAGCCAAACTTGGACTGCTGAATATCCTTTCCCGGAATCATGTCCGTATCTCTTTAACAATATTCTTTCACAAGACATTTGTTCTGTATGTGATTCTGTTCCTGAAGGATCTGTTCTTTCTCCTGCTGGCCCAGCTGAATAACCTTGTCAAAAGAGACAATTTAATTCCCCTTTATTCACATATCTTATAACACTTCCTCAATTGGATCTCAGCAAGCAAGCTCAGTAGTCCCACAAATCTGTTTCATGCCCTGCAGGTCAGGTCTCCATTTACTTGGAACACATTTTACCAAAGAAATAATGTTATGCATGGCAATTAGATTTCCAGGCAAGCCCACAAAAACCTGTTGAACCTACAATACAGTGAATTGCCAATGGGCACAATTTTGATTTCTAGTACCAGTGGCATATATCACAAGTGATGAGGGAAAAATTTCCTTCACCTCTCCTACCTATAACACACTTTTCACTTGTTTTCCATGTTTCTCTTCTGTATACTTCTCATATGCCTTTATGTTTTCAAGAAGTGTTCAGGTCCTGATATAGCATCCTACCACAAGGCTGTCATATGCAAATATACCTTACTCTGATGTTATAGATTCCACCAAAATGTTAGGGTAGAATTTGGATTGCTTGAATTAATACTGAAGATAAATGACTAATGTCAAATGTATTTTTACTTTTTGCCTGCTTTGCCTGTTAGAAATTTACTTGCTTTTCAATGAGTATAATAAAATTAAAAAAAGGCAGGTAATGTGAAGAGGATGTTTTGTGTTAAAGTGTCACTATATGATGAGCAGTCACAATATGGTTAGCAAGGAGCTCTGGTGGTGTGGTGCGTAAGGCATTTGAGTGCTAACCAGAAAGTTGGTGGTTAAAATCCACCAGCCACTCTGAGGAAGGAAGATGGGATGGTGCAATCCACTTCCATAAGGATTTGCCACCTTGGAAACTCACTGGAGGTTGCCATGAGTCAGGATTGACTTGATGGCAGTGGTTTTTTTTTTTTTTTTTTTTGGTATGTGGTTAGCAATCACTATATGATCCACCAGCCCTCAAAAGGAAGGTTGGGACTGCTAGGAGTTGGATCTGACTCGATAGCAGTGAGTGGAGTTTTGGTTTTGGATATAATAAGCAGATTTCCTGTTTTTCTCTCTGAATTTTATTGAATCAACATCTTACTTAAAAAAAAAAAAAAAAAAGGAAAAAAGTATTAGAATCTATTTGCTTTTTCCTTCCTCCTCCAACTTAAAATCTTTTAATAGTGATTATTCTACAATAACGTATTTAGTGATAGGAAGATGAGGTAAGGTGGAACATTTGAAGCTTTATGTGTAAATAGATCATTTCTAAATTTGAAATTAATATGTACAGATTCTAGGCCAATATATCAAATAGAGTTTTATCTTAGAAGATAAGTAACAAATGACTGGTTCTTTTACATGATACATAGTTCTTCTGTTACACATACTTTTATATTGTTGTTGTTTTTCCTGAAAAAATGACATTTTATTCTTTATATCACTATTTAAAAATAAACAATTTAACACCTCATTTATTTTCCTGAATGTTATTAAAAGACAGTTCTTTAACTTATTATGCATATTTTACTAATGTAAGTTATGTATATGTGTAAGAATTATAAATAAGAAATTGAACCCATCAAGGAATGATTAATTCAAGTTAGTTTTAGAAGATTTTAACTTTTTAAATGACTGTGTCCATTTTCTTTCTGACATACCTCCTGACTTTCTTTAATGCTGTTCATGGTCCTTTGGGTGATATCTTTCTACAAAAGCTCCAGGTTCAGTCATTTTATTTATGTGAGCATTAGGAAGATAATGTTATTTACTATAAAGTCATTCACTTAAAAAACAAAATATTGATGTAAGCTTGATTTCAGAATGTGTTTGTTATATGTACAAAAGACTGGTTTTAAAGTTTAGAAATTGGTTTTATCAAGTAAATGTATGGGAATGAATAGAAAGATCACTGAGTATAAATAGTTTTTATTTTTAATCCAGTCAAAAACATTTTCTTTAAATGGAGCCTGAGAGATAGCAAGAGTGCATCATGCTCATGCCTGAGCTCTTTCAGTACAATGAAGGGAATCACTAATGCTGCTCGAAACCACGTGCCATGCTGCAAAACTGCTTGTGGTTTTGTGCATCAATCAAAATTAATGCTATTGTTTAAATTTCAGTGTGTGTGGGGGGGAAAGTACTGTGAAAGCAGGAAATCCAGCAGCATGCAGGGCGTATCCTAAAGAGGACAGTGTACCTACAGTACAGAGTGAGAGGGTTTAGAGAAGACTCAGTCAGAATGAGGGTTTGTATGTGCTGTTATCTGTTCCACTTTTCCTCAGGGATTTGGCCCCACATGTGTGATTTTTAAAATTTAAAACTCTGTTCTATAATTTCTGATGCCTTTGAGTTATTGTACTCACTGTTGTCAAGTTGATTCTGACTCATAGTGACCCCTCCTTGGGTTTCTGAGGCAATATCTTTACCGAAATAGATTGCCCAGTCTTCCTTCTGGAGTGGCTGGTGGGTAGTGGGTAAGTAGTAAGTACACCATAGACAATTTAAACTCTGGCTACACTGTAACTGAAACTACTTCACACTGGCTAAAATAAAAAAGAGAATTTATAACAAAGATACAGTGTTACAAGGGTAGGAATCTACCTGTGCCTCAGGAAGGGCCTCAAACCAGGGCCTGAAAAAGCACCAGAATTCCTGTTTCTTTCTACCACTGCACAAGTGCTGTGTACTCTCTCTTTTCAGAATCATCTCCACCCCTCACTATGTGTTGGGTGTCCTGGTAAAACAGAATATAGGTGAGCAAAGCCATGTATCATCAGTCCACATAGTTTTAAGACAATGAACAGAAGATACAGGTATTTTAAGAGTTTTATTCTTTCATAGATGCAAATGAGCCTAACTTGTATGTCTTAAATGAGAGAAAGACGATGTAACTTGCAGTTACGTATTTTTTAGATAAAATGCATATAATATAAAACTCACTATATTTTAATAATTTTCATTTTATATATTTTTATTATTGTGGTTTGGGTGAAAGTTTACAGGAAATTATTTTTCCATTTAACAATTTATACATGTTTTGTAACATTATTGCAATTTCCTCAATTTAATAGCACTCTTCCTGCTTCCTCCCTGCCCCTTCCTGCCTTTTGATCTTTGTTTTGGGGCAAGTGCTGCCCTTTTGGTCTAATATAGTGGTTACTCTGAAGATTACATTCCTCATGAGTGTTATTGTTTTCTTTGTTCCATCATTTTAAGTGTACAGTTCAGTATTTTAATATATTTGTAATAATGTGCAACCCTCACCATTATCTAATTCCAGAACATTTTTATCACATCAGAAAGAAATCTCCTATCCCTTAAACAGTTACTCCCATTCCCCTTCCTTCCAGATCCTGGCATCACTATTCAATTTCTTTCTCTGGATTAGCCTATTCTGTCTGGACATTGCATATAAATGGAATCATATAATATGTGACATTTTTTAGTCTGTCTTCTTTCACTTAGCATATTCTCTCACCTAGCATATATATTTTTTTTTTATGTTCTAGCATGTATCAGTATTTCATTCCTTTGTAGGATTAAATAATTTTCCATAGTTTGCGTATTATGGGTATGTGTGTATACACACATACATACCATATTTATTTATTCATCAGTTAATGGATGTGTTGGATTGGGTTCTCTAGAGAAACACAAAAACCAGCAAAGTATATATATATATATATATAT